ATTATATACACCCAAGACAGAAAACTTATCACCATGTGGCCACCACCATGGTAAGGACAGCTGCAATCCATCCATTTCAGGGTACTGTATGTGCGGAGGGGCATTCCATGCTTCCCTGCAGTGTTCCCTAGCATAATCTGTTGATGTTGTAGACCTGTCCATGCACAGGTTTCTACACCTGCGTAGCTATTAGCTATTTAGAAACCTGATTTGGGAACAGCCACTTGGGCATTGGACATGCCTGAGGCAGTTTACCCAGCTTGATTTATTTCTTAACAGCTTTTGTCCCCAGCTTTTGTAGAATCTTTCACAGTTTCCCTGGGGTGCTCAGTTAGGAGTGTAGTGGGGAATGAAATAGGAGGCTAGAGATTCTTTGGGTAACTGGTGAAAATATTATTATGCTGCACATATCCATTCCATATCCTCTCTGTATGGAATTAGTACAAGGCCTGTGCCCCATCTGTCTCAAACAACCCCAGTCAGAGATGCATAAGCCTCATACTTGCTGTCTGCGTAGTAGCAACTATCATTCTCAGGCCATACCTGAAAATGGAGCATGACTGAGTTTTCTTAGGAGCTGAGAGTACTATAAGTAGATGGCTCAGTTACGGGTAGCTCTTCAACTTCCTTTAATCATAAGGCTATTGGCCAGATAGATAGAAACAGCTCTTAGAGGCCAGTGGGCCTCTAGTCACAATGGTTTGCTGGCATACACTTTAAAAGGGCTCTCTACTACAAAACTTTACTAGGGATTGGTCACACAGCAATTACTATGAGTCTTTGTCAGCTCCTCAACTAAATTAAGTATCTTGGCAGGGTTGTTGCAGATCCGTACTAATGAGCATGGGGAGAGCAGGCTGAGAGTGCTTACACAGTGCCTGCATGCATTAAACTGCCGGTGTCCAATGCTATCAGTCCTGCACGGTCATGAGCTCTGAAATTCAATAATTGTCTTTTTTTAAAGCACATCATTTACCCAGCAGACCATAATAGCTCTGTTTAATCATGTAAATAGATTTCCCTGCTCTTAACAAAGTATATTGTAAACCTGACAAACTACAAAGGCTCCTTCAAAATCATTCAATTCTGCCTTATTAACTATTGCCTTGAAGCTTGGGACACACAGATGCAAATCACTCCTTTGGAGTGGAGCTATCGGTGTTTTCTGTGCCTGTCTGTTAAAAGGTACATCTACTAAAAATCTTTATTGGATGTTGGCTGTGTATTACTCTAACTTCACATCAGCTGTTTCCCCAAAACAGTTTTGCAACTTGTAGTCCTTAACTGTGATCTACATTAATCTGCATTACAGGGAGAGACTCCTGCCAAACAAAATGTTAGCTTGGCGGAGGAGAGGGTGTCATGTCCTTCATATCCCACTTGTTTTACACCTATGTAACTTCATTGGCCTCAGTGGATTTATTCTGGTACTGATCCAGGGAACCAATTCAGCACATGAGCAGCTCCAAGACATAGTTTATGCAGCATGCTTAATGTTAAGTATATGCTTTGCTGGATTGGGACTGAGAAGCTCAGCACCCTGTGGGATTTCTGCCCAAGTGAAAAGAGAATCAGGCTGCTTGTACTTATGGTTAAAAGCCATAAAACAGTCAGGGCAGTGAGTTGTATGTTATTTATGAAAACATGCACAGTTTCATAGTATTCCTTTGGCAGTTAAGGGGGGGTAGGAGGGGATGGAAGGAGCAGGTGGCCAGTTCAAAGCCTGGATTTGGGAGAGGACCAGGGTCAATTGCATTCCTATTGGGGGAGGGAGTGAGATGTGGAGAATATTGGGATGATTAGACTTACTTTTCCATTTCGAGAAAAGGCATATGCTAGGCTTACAAAAACCTTTATTGTTCCATCTCTAGTGATGCAGATCCATTCAGCTTTCTGTGATATAAATCTATTGTTTTTGTTTAAAAAAAGGATGGTATCAGAAGAAAAAAAATCTCTAGTATTTTAGCTCTGGGGACAGTAGGGATTCTGTCAGCTGAGGCTAACTACAAAACTAATGATGCAGTGACATTTTAATGAGAGTGTAGTAGACAATGCAGGGCAACACTGCAGAAATGCTTTTTAGTCTGCAGACATTCGTATTACATTTTACCTATTGTCACACTTTGAGCGCCATTGTAAATTAATTTGGCAGATAAATTTATGGCAGCAATTTGCCTTCCAGATGTATAATTTATTCATGTCAAAAATAATTTATTATATTCTCCTTTAGACCCTTCTTTTTTCTGGTAGCACCTTAGTAAATAAAATTTATTGTTTCCACTGAGCCTTATGTGACTTCACAGTGGTCAGTCAATAACCACAGGGGGATAGTTTTAGTCACATTATTGGTCACTTATTTGGATGGATGATGGAGTACTTTGGTCCCATCTGTACATATATTACTTTCTTTTGTCTTAGGGGCACTTTTGGAAAGATTAATTAGGTCTATATGCAGGCAAAGATCAGCCCTAGGGGATTTAGGTAAATAAAATAAATACCAAGGGGAAGAACTGCTGAAGGGGACATTTAGAAAATCAAAGTGTTTTTCCACAACACTGATAGGAAAATATATATATTGAGACTGAAGGAAAGCCAAAACTGCTTCTTAGTCTGGATCATTTTAACAGCAGTGTGATAAACATCTCTTGGTGGTGCTGTGCTAGGATAAGAATGTATGCATATACTTGAAATCCATGGGCCATATCTCAGCTGACATAAATCAGCATAGGCACACTGAATTTAGCAGAACTACCACCTTACATCATGCCTTTCAAATGTGATACAATTCTATCCCTCATCTGAGTGAATGATAGAACACACCATGTAAACTGATCACGATTTCTATTTATAGGCATTTTTTATTTAACGTGGATTGAACACAAACCATGTAGAACTGCTATAATGTAAGTTACAACTAATTTCACTGCTTTCCTGATATAAGTAGGGCTTGTCTAGTACAATGTGCCCAGATTCCCCAGCATCTAAATAAGAAAAGGGAAGAAGGTAAAGGATCATTTTCCCCATCGAGGTCCAACCATGCTATGGGTGTGCAAACATATAAAAGTATAAAATTATGTAAAGTGTGTAAAATAATCACTGCGTACAGACCAGTTTGTTAGAACAAAATAACTTTACTTAAAGATGTCAGGACAAATTCTGCTGCCAGATTGTTACTCCTTTTGATTCCTGCTTGAGTTGATAAAGATATAGCGATGTGAGGAGACAAAAAGAAAACAAGAATGACTTTAATAACATCATTAAAAAACTGAAGGGAAAACAGCCTGAAAGCCAGAAGCAAAGAAAAATGAAAAATGAGGAGAGAAGGGGAAATTGGCTTTCATGTCAGCTATGTATATTTCCGATCTCAAACAACTTATAGTCCCACTCCGGGAAAAACTGAAACAAGAGAATAAACTCAGGGCCTCCTTTGGGATTCTGGTATGTAGCTGTGTAATGCCAGATCCTGGTTGCAAGGCTGGGCCATGTTAACATGGTTTCAGTGGAGTCACACTGCCACAAAACTGGATTTGAGGGATGAAAGGGACTCTCCTGTATCAGTTCCTGGGCTTTTTGATGGACAGGAAATGCTTTGTGTGCTTGCAAAGGAACAGTCACAGATGAGAGCTTTCACTGAAATTTTTCTTCAGCAGTTTTCAGGTTTTTACTGAAAAACTGAAGATCAAGATTTTTCAAATTTTGGTTGACAATTACCTAAAGTGTTTTGGATTTCTTTGAAGAAACCAAGATGTCCATAACTGAAAAACAGACAACTCCAACAGAAGCTTCCACTTTGAGAAAAAACATTTTCCATCAAAACATTTCAGACAAAAAAAAATACTGTACTGGGTGCCCATTTTAAGAGACAGCAAAGAAGGGAGATGGAAAATGAATGTCTATACCAAAAGAATTTGAACAAATGCAGACAAAGATCTGTTTGTCATAGTAGACTCCTCAGTCAGGCTGAGGTTGCAGGGAGAGGGTGGATCAGGCTTGCTCTCTGGCTGGGGCGGCTGTTTCTAGCAGGGCTGGAATATCGGCTGAGACGCTCCAGGAAATAGACCAGAAGCAAGGGTGGGGGCGTTATTTTTTTGGTGATAACTTTTATTGGAACAACTGTACAGCTGAGAGAGAGATTAAAACAAATTTTGGGGACCAAAGTAGCCTTCCTCAAGCCTTGAGTCTCTATGTCTAGAAATTTCCCTGTAGTAGACACTGTTTTTGAAGTACTTCAGATAACCAACCGCATGGTTGTTTGGCTTTCCCTCAGGTCCAGGTGCGTTGGACTTGCAGCTTACAGACTAACCAAAGCACATATGTATGTACCACATATGTGTATATAGACAGATAGCTAGGAAGACAGCTAAACAGATAGGCAGACAGATAGACACTGATATACAGCATAAGCTCTGCCAGGTGTAGCTCACTACATGAGCTGAAGTACCCCTGGCACTCTGGTGGCAGCATTCAACCCTCCCTGCCTGACCAGAGCCTTTTCTTGAACCCCAGCAGAGCCTTGCCGCCTGCCAACCTGTCTCTCTCACCCTAGCCAGGTGAGTGGCGCCCTGCACTAGCCAGGGCATGGGGGCCCAGGCTGAGGGGGCTCCCTGCTTCTCGCCTACCCCGGGAGGGGGCACAGCTTCGTCCGCTGCCCCCGGGGCTCATTTCAGGCACTGGGTCCACCCCCGCGACCCTGGCCCCTGGGCGCGGGGTGCCCTCAGGCCCGGCGGAGCTGCCCGAGGTCCCTCGCCCCGAGCGCAGGGACAATAGCCCGGGCAGGGGGGCTTCTCCGGGACGCCGCTGTCCAGCTACGGGGCGGCAGTGATGGATGGCGAGCGGGCGGGGGGCGCGGACGGCTGCGGTTGCCTGGCCCCCGGGGAGCGCGGCGGGGGCGGGGAGG